CGAACAATTCTCATCCCAAGAATTTGCTTTGCTGGACCCAAATCCTTCATGGCAAAGGACTTACTCAACTCTGACTTCAACTTGCTAATCTTACTCGTGTCTTGGCCCACAATAAGCATATCATCAACGTAAAGCAAGAGAATAATAAAATTACCATCTTTATATTTCTTCACAAACACACAATGGTCTGAAGTGGTTCTTGAATACCCATTCTCACTCATGAAAGCATCGAATTTTCTGTACCACTGCCTCGGTGCTTGCTTCAATCCATACAAGCTCTTCTTCAATTTGCAAACTAACTGATCATTACCCTTATCTTTGAAGCCCTCAGGTTGCTCCATATAAATTTCCTCTTCTAAGTCACCATGCAAAAATGCGGTCTTCACATCAAGCTGCTCAACTTCTAAATTCATACTCGCAGCTATACCAAGCACAGTTCGAATGGAGGACATCTTCACAACTGGTGAGAAGATCTCATCAAAATCAACTCCCTTTCTCTGATCAAAACCTTTCACGACAAGTCGTGCCTTGAATCTCGGTTGAGAACTGTTCCCATCATTCTTTCGTCTGAAGACCCATTTATTTTTCAAAATTTTCTTCCCTTTAGGCGGCTTCACCAAATCATAGGTGTGATTCTCATGCAAAGACTTCATTTCCTCTTTCATTGCCTTGAACCATTCAGTTTTGTTCTCATGCTTCAAGACTTCTTGATAAGTCCCTGGCTCCCCCTGATCTGATATCATCACATACTCATTTGAAGAATATTTTCTGGATGACTGTTTTTCTCTAGTAGATCTCCTTAACGGTGTCTGTGGTAGTGGCTCTTGGGGTGGTTGCTCCCCCTCAATCTCTGGCTCAACATCATCTTCTGCTGCATCATCATGAGGTGTTTGCACTTCCTCATCAATATCATGAACAGCAGAGGGATTGAGAGGATCTAAATCAACAAGATCATCAGTACTAGACTCAGCTGACTCAAGCTTGTCGATGTCTTCAATAGTCTGATCTTCCAAGAAAACAACATCTCGGCTTCTGACAACTTTCTTGTCAACTGTATCATACAACCTGTATCCAAATTCTTCATGCCCATAGCCAAGAAATATGCATTGCTTTGCTTTTGGATCAAGCTTGGACCTTTCATCTTTTGGAATATGAACAAAAGCTCTGCAGCCGAATACCCTCAAGTGATCATAGGAGACTTCCTTCCCTGTCCAAACTTTCTCTGGCACATCACCATTCAACGGAACTGAAGGAGACAAATTGATAAGATCAACTGCGGTCCTCATTGCCTCACCCCAAAAGGATCTTGGCAATTTAGAATGTGAGAGCAAACATCTGACTCTCTCAAGAATGGTGCGATTCATTCTCTCTGCAACCCCGTTCTGTTGAGGTGTCTTTTTAACTGTCTTTTCATGCCTGATACCATGATTTGTGCAATACTGATCAAATGGTCCAATATATTCACCACCATTATCCGAGCGAACACATTTCAACTGTCTACCTGTTTCTCTTTCAACCTTGGCCTGAAAAATCTTAAACACATCTAGAACTTGATCTTTAGTTTTCAGTGTATAAGCCCAAACTTTTCTAGAGTGATCATCAATAAAAGTGACAAAGTATAGAGCACCACCAAGTGTCCTAACTTTCAAAGGACCACATACATCAGAATGTACCAAATCTAAAACATGAGATTTTCTAGATGCAATGTTTCTACGGAATGATATTCTGTTTTGTTTACCATGGAAACAATGAACACAAGTTTTCAAAGGCGTACCTTTTATCCCCACTAGAAGCTCTTTCTTGGACAAAACTTGCAATCCTTTTTCACTCATATGTCCAAGCCTTCTATGCCATAAATCAGTGGATGAGTCATTCTCTAAGGTATTCACAACACCCTTGCAGATTTTTGCTTGCATAGTGTAAAGAGAACAAGTCTTCTTTCCTTTTGCTACCACTAGAGAACCTTTGGAGAGCTTCCATTTTCCATTACTGAAATTGTTGATGTAGCCTTCATCATCTAACTTTCCAGCAGAGATTAAATTGAGTCGAATATCTGGTACATGCCTCACATCTCTAAGCAGCAATTTGCATCCAATATTTGTTTCCAAGCAAATGTCACCCATGCCGACAATTTTTGACACATCTTCATTTCCCATACGGACATTCCCAAAATCACCTTGTGAGTAAGAAGTAAAGAAATCAGCCCGCGAAGTAACATGAAATGAAGCTCCAGAATCAATTACCCAATCCGTCTCTTGGCCAATCAAATTAACGCTAGCATCATCACGGATAATCATGAGTTCATCATCGGTAACTACAGCTGTATCAATTTGCTTTTTCTCTGAATTTTTCTCTTTGTTCTGCTCCTTGAACTTGAGTTTTCTACATTCCCGCTTCATGTGCCCTTTCTTGTGACAATAATAGCATTCAACATCCTTTTTTGACATCGAGCTTGAACGACCTCTAGATTTATCACGGTTGTGCGGAACCCTACTCTTACTCCTGCCTCTCCCCCGGTTTTCCATTACAAGTGCCTCGGAGTAAGAAGAACCTGATGATTTTCTTCTTGTTTCTTCATTCAACAAACTGCTGGTAACTTGACTCATTGTTACCACTCCATCAGGTGCGGAGTTACTAACTGTGACCACCAAAGTTTCCCAGCTTTCGGGAAGTGAACTAAGAAGTAACAAAGCTTGCAACTCATCATCAAAAGTAATTTTCATGGCGGCCAACTGATTCACAATGCTCTTAATCTCATTCAAATGCTCTGCAATAGAAGTACCCTCCTTATATTTAGAGTTCACAAGCTTTCGAAATAAAAAGGCTTTATTCACTGCCGTCTTTCTATCATACAAACTCTCCAATTTGGTCCAAAGACCATGTGCAGATTTTTCTGTAGAGACATGATGAAAGACACTATCATCAATCCATTGCCGAATAAAACCGACAGCTTTCCGGTCTAGCTTTTTCCACTCGTCATCTTTCATCCCTTCCGGTTTGCCACTATCACCCTCTATGGGTCCATTCAAATCTTTACAAAATAAAAGATCTTCCATTTTAGTTTTCCAAGTCACCCAATTTGTGCCATTGAAACTAACCATACGTCCAACGTTGCCGTCCATAATTCACACACAGAAATATAACGAATCGGAACCGAATTAACCAATTGCTCTGATACCAGATGTTGGGAAAATAGGCTTTCCCACAAGTGTAAATCAATGGAAGCAATATAAATAAAATAACAGAAAATAAATAAGCACACAAGATTTACGTGGTTCCCTCAAATAACTTGAGGTACATCCACGACGACCGGTAGGTCAGTTTCTTCCACTATCACCAAATCAGATTACAAAGTGGCCAAAAGGCATAAGCCTTACAAACACACCAAGGTGTAAATCACAAGAGGAAAATACCTCACAAAAAAAGTGAACCAAATCTCCAAGAACAAACCGCAATAAACCCAAATATCAAGTGAAGAAATATTACCCACTTGAAGAACAAATTTACAGATTTTTCTGGCACCAAAAAAGGAGAAGAAGAAGGCTGAATTTTTGTTGAACCAAAGACTGCCGAAAAATATGTCTTCTTGCCAAACCAACAGAGAATAGATGAACCAAAGAAAAGGACAAAACTTATAGTCTTTTGGTGGCTGCCAAATTCCTTTTTAACTTGAAGACTCCAAACCAAGTCTTGGATAAGAGTCCTACACGGGTAAGCCACCAAAAAATTAGCAAATTGATGAGTCCCACATAGGAGGGAAACCCAACAATTTACATCCACCACCATTATTTCCCTTACCCTCTAACTCCTACTAATAATCTTTCATGGCTCAATGGTGTATTTTGTCTATAAAAGGCTTACGAAATGAGTCAGAAGGTGTGAACAAAAAAAGAAGAAGAAGAAAATGAGTGTTATCGATCTCATAATTAACGAACTTGCAAAATAGATATGTTAATCATAAGGAGATTTGTCATTTTTTACCATTATTCACGTTAATTGTTATTTGAACAAGTAAAAGTTCTGTCTTGATCCGAGTAGGGATAACATTTTTCAGCTGCAGGTTCATGTGTCTTGGAATAATTTTTAGCTAAGAGCTTGACCGCCTTTTACTTTGTATAATGCTAAGTGAATTCGTAACTTTAACATATTTTCTTTCTTACTATTGTATAGGCCTTCGAATTACCACATTGATCTATTAAAGTTCCTGAAGAACGAGTTTCTATATGTTTTGGTGCGTTACTCTCTTAATATTTCGTTGATTTCACAATAATAACTTCATTACGATGTCATTGAAAAATTATTTCTCTATATCCACAATTATGCTGTCAATCATCCACATAGCTATGCAATTGAGTTTTTACAATATCATTCCTAACAGAGTCATCTCTACAATGGATAAAATTAATGCCGAGTAACAAGTAAATAAACCAATTTTTTTGAGTAAGATCATCAATATCCTTATTAAATTAAAAATGAAATTTCAAAAATGCCAAACGTTATGCAGTTTCATATTGTTGTCATCGGCTATAAGACCTCTAAAAAAGGTAACCCATTAAAACCTAAATATATAATTATTGTGAAATTATATATTACACAATAATTCCATTAATAATTAAATCAGCAAATAAGCTCAAATTTTTAGGACCAACTAACATTCCTCGTGACTATATGGTTCACAGATTTATAAGGGTGTGGTTGAGAATTTACTTATAAGTGTGTGGTTGAGAATTTACTATCATATCTCTCTGTCTGCTATCTGTGTGTGTATGAAGTTAAAAGGGTTACATCACCAGAAAACCTAATTCCACTCTTGAAAAACGTTTTGGAATCAAACACAACTGTATTGTCTTTGCATGAACTTCATCGTTTATTTAACGCGGCAAGAAGTTATTGGCTTGCTATCAATTAGTTTCTCTGTTGAATCACATGTGTTTGTTTACTTGCATTTGCCTCTTTGATATTTTTCACTTACAGAATATGGACTTGTAGTCTATATATACTGCCAATTATACTCATATTCCCAAAACTTCTCTCTCTCTCTCTCTCTCTCTCTCCCATTGCTTCTCTTCATTCCCCCATGCAACCTCAAGTTAACAATTATCAACCAAGCTTCAACCCTACATCTATGCCTAATAACTCGGAAATGATGATACCACTAGAGGTGGAAACCACTTCAATTGCAAATAATAGAGCAACTTCTGCCGTCGCTGATCGAACCGATACGGGCAGTGATGGTGTTTTCTTGACATGGGAGGATTTATGGGTGACAGTTTCAGATGGAAGAAAAAGCAGTAGACCAATCCTTCAAGGCCTCACCGGCTATGCTCGGCCCGGTGAGCTCTTGGCTATAATGGGTCCTTCTGGCTGTGGCAAATCTACACTTCTTGATGCCTTAGCAGGTAACCCAATTTTCTTTTCTGAATTTCCCATGTAATTTTAAGGAAAATGTTATAGACGCGCATACAAGTTGTAACATTAACAATTTCATATAGTACAGAAGCGTTGTTGCTCCCATAGAATTTGGCAGGCACAGATTCTGCTGAACTACGTGTTCTTAATTTTGATTGTCTTTCTCTCACATTAACTATTCAATGTGCTACACCATCACAGTAAACTCATTGAGGTTTTATATTTGGTGGTTTAACCCTTTAACATGGAGAAATGATGATTCCATGTTATATGCATTCACTTAACGAACGATCATATAAAAAGAGAAAAAACCTATAATTAGGAAAAGTACAATAACAAAGTCTTGCATAAACACGAGAGCGAACATGGTGTTACCCAGAGGTATAAGATTGTTGTGCTGAACTTTTTATTATTGTATCTGTTTTTTGTTTAATAAAAATGTGTCACGAGTAATGTTTAGTTTTTAATTTTATTACTTTAATGGTCAATAAATTCAAATAAATCAAACTTAACCAACCGATTTCAAATCATTTTATGATGTGATACTTATACTACCTTTCAGTGGTGAGACAACCTAAGGGGCTGTTTGGTAAGGGGTATAGGGGGCTTGCTAATATGAGTTTGGAGAAAATAATTCAAAGGACCCTCAAATCTCATGTTTGCATTGAAAATTTAATCTGGGGTTTTTAAACCCAATCCATAGTTGGTCCGAAGATTAAACTCATGATCATGAATTTGACGAAACTTAGGGAGGGGGTGAGTTTAGGAAGATGGGTTAAGGGATTAAAGATATAAAAGACAATTGTACCCCTTAATATGTGTATGAATTAGATTGATTGATGGAAAAATAGTCATTTATAAGATAAATAATTGTTAATAATTATGATATATCCGTGGGTCCTATATGTACATATGTTGCATACTAACACATGAGTATAAATGGAATTGAATGTTGAATCTCATATTTATAAAGAGGAATTTCAATTTGGAAGAGTTTGGAGAAGTCAATCCAAACTTCTCTTCAAAATTTATCCAAACAAGCCCTACGAGTCCTTTCAATTTGTTGCGTAGTGTCATCTAGAAATTGAGCTATAATGGTCCAATGAGGCACAAACTGATAAAAAATCAGTCTTATGGCTGCAACGATATCCACACAATAAAAAAGCACAGTCCCTCAAACAGATTCTCCATTAATTTTTCTTCAAGTTTTTTTACTTTTCCTTCCGAGAAGATAGGACAATATAATTTGTACGACATAGAAGTTATCAGACTTGATTACGGTATCGAAGAAGCTTTTACTATTTTAATGTGTTTTTAATATATTTATAGGTATTTTTATTACATTTGTTGATGTTTGTACCGCTGTTGTGGTAACTATTTTTACTATTTTTTGGGATATCAGAATAGTAATGCCAAATTTTTATTTCCAGTACCGTAATCAACTCCTAAGTTATCTGGTAGAAGCATATAGCTTGATGAAATCACCCACGATGTATTTTTGTAATATGCAGTTTTTTTTAGGAGGGTTATTCAAATCCGAATTAATTATCAGTTTACTATTTCTCTAAACTTTATTTACTAAAATACCATAGTTTGAAACGATTTAGCAAACTACAGTTCTATTATGAAAGCATATAGTTTTGAAAACACGCTTTTAAAGTAAAGAACGTGTTTTCACAAGTACACTTTCAAAAGTTTTCGATTGAAAGTGTACTTTCAAATTTATAGTGAAAAACATGTTTTATAAAGGCAATACAATAAAAAAATCAATTGTTTGACAAACAAGTTTAAATCCACAGTCAATGAGTGAAAAAGTTTACGATGAGATGTGAGTGACTCATTTCATGCTCTTAATCTGTGCAGGGAGATTAGACTCGAACACAAGGCAGAACGGTGACATTCTGATCAATGGTCGTAAACAAACACTGGCTTATGGAACATCAGTAAGTAAAGATTTATCCAGTTTTCTAACTGTTCTTCTTCTTCTTCTTCTTCTTCTTCTTTTTTTTTTTTTTTTTTTTAATTTTTTACTGATTTTCTGAAGTAAATAGTAAAAAAAGAACAATAATATGGAAGCAAGGGGGAAAAGAAACAAACAAAATCAACTACAACTTTATTTGTTTCTTAAAGAGACTAATGTTCCATGTCGTAATAGTTTTCCCCAAAGACTTTCCAAAGCAAAAAAATGATTTTGTCAAAAAGGTAAAAATAAAGTTAATTGCTATGTTGTCATAAATAGAGCTATCAATGGATTAGATTTGTCTAAATCCGAATCTTATAAAAAATTCATGTTCCAATTCCGATCTTTTTATCCGATGGATTTTAAAATCTTAATTCATCTCTAAATTCGTTAATAACCAGATATCCGATCTGATTACCCGATTCAATTTGAAAATATGAATTCCAACAAAATTTCGTAAAAAATTAATAATAATTTTGCCAAATTTATATTTACTTTTAACCTAATTTAATTAACCAATGATTTTATTCAATAATTTTTGTTTAATTTTATGTCAAAATATATATAGATCAGATCTGATTTATATTTATTTAAATTTAAATTCATTTAAAGAAACTTAATAGGATTTGGATAAATAGATTAAAATATTAATTTATATCCGTTTAAATAATCCCGAATTCGAATTGAATTCAGATTAAAATTCATTCCATTTACAGGTCTAGTCACAAATGTTCAATTTGTATATTTTGGTATACAAATATTCTATTTATAAAGCCTTTATATGTTCATTGCTATACACACGATTACACTGGTAGGAAAAGAGCAAACTCCGATTAAAATAAAAATTTCTAGAAAAATCATTTTTAAATGGTACCACTACACACACACGTGTGATATGTAAATTGCTAATATATATATTTTTTGGTTTGGCTTTAATCAAATCAGGCCTATGTAACTCAAGATGATTTGCTGATAACCACATTAACTGTGAGAGAAGCAGTGTACTATTCTGCTCAACTCCAACTCCCAAATTCAATGTCAATGTCTGAGAAGAGAGAGAGGGCTGAAATGATTATAAGGGACATGGGGTTACAAGATTCAGTGAACACTAGAATAGGTGGGTGGGGTGTAAAAGGCCTCAGTGGGGGGCAGAAGAGGAGAGTCAGTATTTGTATAGAGATCCTCACAGGTCCAAAGCTTCTCTTCCTTGATGAACCAACAAGTGGGCTTGACAGTGCAGCTTCATATTATGTAATGAGCAGAATTGCAGGGCAAAAGGAGGGAAGGACCATTATAGCCTCCATTCATCAACCTAGCAGTGAAGTCTTTGGTCTTTTCACTAATCTGTTTCTTTTATCTTCTGGGAGAACTGTATACTTTGGCCCTGCTGGGGCAGCAAATGAGGTAAGCTATTCAATGTTAAAAGAAACGACCGACTTGTATTTGACTCGGCATATACCGTTTTAGTACCGTTTCACGTTCATTTTAATTCACAAATCTCATTTTCATCAATTTCTTGAGATTTTTGACTTGTAACGTATCATCTGATATTGTTTCGAGATACTGCAATCAGTAATCATCAGCTTTACTTTTATTTCAAATGCAGTTTTTCGCGTTGAATGGATTCCCTTGTCCAATGCTCCAAAATCCATCCGATCACTTCCTTAAAACAATAAACAAGGACTTTGATCAGGTAATGCCATAATATTTTCTTAAAGTATCTTCCATTTTCTACACACCCACATACATGAATGTTGAATTTTATGTTTACACATAATTTCAAGTTTCAGTTACTGTTAACAGGACATTGAGCAAGGTTTACGTAACAAGAAGCCCACAGAGGAGGTGATCAATACACTTGTAAAGTCATATCAATCTAGTACTAGTTACCAGGATATTCAGAGGCAAGTGGCGCAAATATCTAAACAGGTGAGCAAACAATCATCATATTCATTGGTCTTCATGAATCATTAAAGTACTTTTTTTGAATTTCACAATGGTAAATTGGTAATCAATCAGAAATAAGGTATCCTTTCGTAATACTTTTTTAAGCAAAAAAATAATTTCGCCAAAGAAGCATAAGCTTGTTTAGCTTCTACTTCATAAAGTGATCTAGATGAATTTAGTACACGCATCAATTCAAAAACTAACGCTACTGGAAAAAAAAGTTCTTAAAAAAGCAAAAAAGCAAAAAAATAAAAAACAAAAAACAAAAAACAAAATTACTTTCAAAAATCATTGCCAAACGGTACCAATGGTTTCATAAACAAATTAATTATGATTATTTTTGGCCATATATTTCAGGAAGGTGAAGTGTTGGAGAAGAACAGAAGCCATGCTAGCTTCCTCACCCAATGTATAGTTTTGACGAGAAGATCATTTGTGAATATGTTTCGCGATCTTGGTTACTATTGGTTGCGCCTAGCCATCTATGTCACCCTGGCTTTTGGTCTTGGCACCATCTTTTATAATGTTGGCTCAAGTTATGGTTCCATTCAGGTATGCGACAAAAACAATATATACACTGTAATTCATTTTTGCATACAAGTATAGGTAAGAGTACTCAGTACACCTAAGCGGGCGGAACACTAGACTACTCGGGGTCGTGAAGAACTTCAAATATTTTTGTTCAAGTTCTAACTCATAAATTTTTTTGTCCAACTTCAGACTAAACTCGACTCTTCTGATTAGACTCTTCGGACTAGACTCATTGAGTTTAAGTTAAAACTTGAGTTCAGGCTCGTATTCTTCACAATCAAGCTCCGTTTGTTTATTCATATGCACAACTTTTTAGGTATAGTATATAAACTATTAAGTATTACATATTATAAGTAAATGTGGTCATGAGCCTAACAAATTGAATAAACTCTTGTAAGGGCTCATTTGGTAAAATAAACAAACTTGAACGAGTTTTTATCCGAACTGTACAACTAGGTTCTTTTGCAGGTTCATACAATTGCCACATTAATGATAAATTACTCATTACGTATAGTTCTTTTTAATCCAGGCCAGAGGTTCGATGCTTATGTTTGTGGCTTCTTTTCTAACTTTCATGACCATTGGTGGATTTCCTTCATTTGTGGAGGACATGAAGGTGTGTTTTCATTTTCCAAATTAAACTTTGAGCATCTTAGTTTGTTTTTTCCCTCACTAATTTTACTTAACCATTTCCTTTAAATCCTTAATTTTGGTAGGTATTTGAACGAGAGAGATTAAACGGGCACTATAGTTCTGGTGCATTTGTGATTGCCAACGCACTGTCTGCTATGCCATACTTGATTGTAGTTTCTTTGATTCCCGGTGCAATCACTTACTACCTTACTGGACTTCAACAAGGATTTGAACACTTTATGTACTTTGCTTCTGTGCTTTTTACTTGCATGATGTTGGTTGAGAGCCTGATGATGATTGTGGCGGGCATCGTGCCTAATTTCCTCATGGGAATCATATTGGGTGCTGGAATTCAAGGGCTAATGATACTAGGTGGTGGATTTTTTCGATTACCAAAGGATCTTCCTAAACCATTCTGGAGGTACCCCTTGTACGACATTACCTTCCACAAGTATGCATATCAAGGACTGTTTAAGAACGAGTTCATAGGACTAGTATTTCCTGGTGATGAAGCTAGAGGGCCAAAAATACTCAAGGGGGAGGATGTTTTGAGAAATATGTATCAAGTGGAATTCGGCTATTCTAAGTGGGTCAACCTTGCCATATTGTTAGGGATGGTGTTTTTGTATCGATTGTTGTTCTTTGTCATCGTCACAAGTGTTGAAAAGGTTAAGCCTGCGATTAGGGCATTCATGTCTGTGCCTCCGAAGCAGACGAAGCAAGTCATGATGAATCCTAGTACCACACCTGAACATAAAGAACCCTCTATAGTATGAGACTTCTTTTCAATGTTCGAAATGCATTTAATCCAAGCCCTAGCTCAGTTAGAAAGGGTCCTCTTAAACATGATATTTGTGGTTATTAGATAAATATATATGTTATGCTCTTCTCTTTCAGTTTAAACTTTTAAATGGTTTGATCGTTTAACATGATATTGGAGCGTCTGGAGTTTCTTTTAAACTTTAAGATGGGTTGGTTGTTTAATATTACCTTGATGATGCATTGATGTAGTTGTAATCCATGGAAGATAAATATCACTCTCTCTTCCACTCTCTGTGTCTCTTTTTCTTATCTCTATCGACTCTTGAACCCCTCACTTTGTAGTGAAGGATTTTAGATCCACAACCACCAAGATACATGAGAGTCAGAATGAATAGATGCACCAAGAGATACACCTAATAGATACACCAAAGAGAAACGCAATGAAATCTAAAGAGAAATATTAAAATGATATACCTAATTAATAAATAAAATTGATACAAAAAAGTGATAAACCAAGATATACACAGAGGTTAGTTGTATCTCAATTCATCTACAATTGATGCATTCATTATGTGTTTTTTTTAATAAAAACGACAGAAATTCTGTAGAGAATATAAGTATGAGAGAAGAGATGCCATCAAAAAGTTTGGTGTCATCTCTTTCCAAACATCAATATTTCGACTTAATCTAATCTTTTGAACCCGTTGGTGAGCTAGACAATTTCCTAAACGTTGAATAGTGGACAAAGAAGAAAAAATAAACAAGCGAAGAAGCCTCTGAACATCTACAACAATAGTGCCTACAGGAGAAAAATCTTCAGAATTATTGTCAATCCTCATCATAATCACAGATGAATCACTTCACACCACAATATCATCACACCCAATGCAATTTGCCTAGCAAAAACACAACTTCTCTTGCATCCATAGTCTCTGCGGTTTGCGCTTCTCCCAAACCAATTAATCTTATACATCCCCACGATAAATGTCCCAGCTTCATTGCGAATAACCATGCCCACCACAATAGCACCCTCTATGCCAAGCACCGCCCCCGTCGAAGTTAACTTTAAAAGATCCAGATCTATGAGGAACCCAACGTTCTGGTGCACCTTCAAAACCAGCAACTAGACCAGAATTCAAAGCTTGCTCATACTACAAAATAAACTTCATTGCCACATGATGGAACACCATTGGATCATTTCACCTTTGCTGGAAGATAACCTTATTCATGGTATGCCAAATATAACAACATAGCACGAAGAAAATTGCACTGAGTTTCGGCTTAGGCTACAAAATAATCTCCTAAAACCAATCAACTATGTTACTAGTAAATCGATAGATTATATTACAAAGAGGACTCCCAACCCACACCTGTTTCACCCACGGGCATTCCTTAATTATATGTATCATAGTTTTGACATACTCCCCAAATGCACAACATACCTCATCTGGTCTAATCTTTCGATACCACAAATTTTCATCAGTAGGGAGAGTATTTAAAATCATCCTCCACACAAAAATTTTGACTTTATTGGGAGCATTTTAATTCCATAAAGCACATCAATTACCCCCTAAATTTGATGATGAACCAGCACTTGGACAACTCAAATGGAATAAATTCCTTTCATATGCTAAATGGTATGCACTCCTGACTGAAAATCTACCATTGGCTTTATAATGCCAAATCAATATATCTTCCATCGGCAACACACCCAAGGAGATCCGTTTAATGACCTTTGCTTCATGCTCCAAGAAAACAACATCAATCAAAGGAGTTTTCCAAAAATGTGTATCTAGATCAATAAGTTCACTAACCATAGCATTCTCCTCCAAAATATTCCTTGGGTTGACCACTTGGAAAGTAGATGGAGTAGGAATCCATCTATCTTTCCATAAATGAATTTTAGATCCGTCACCAATCCTACAACGCGACCCAGCTTCAATGACCGCCATTGACTGTAAAATACTCCGACATGTATATGAAGGTCTGTATCTGATATTAGCATTTATTAACATAGTCAAAAGAAAATACCTCTGCCTTTAGAACCTCGTGGAGAAGAGTATGCGTCTCATAGTAAATTCTCCATGCCGTTTTAGCTAGCACTACCATATTATTAAGGGCATTAAAAGTCCTCAAGTCTCTAAAGCCCATCCCACCAATCTTCTTTCCTTTACACATTTCAGCCCATTTAACCCAATGAAATATTCCTTTCCCCCTCCTTTTGGCCCCACCAAAAATTAGAAGCTAATGATTCCAACTCACTGCAAAAATATTCTGCAAGCTTGAAGCAACCCATATCATACATTTGTATCGATTGAACAATTGATTTTATTAGCACTTCGTTACCCCTCTTGATAACAATTGTTCCTTCCATCCTTGTAGCTTTTTCCAAACTCTTTCACTAATACAAGCAAAAACTTCCTTCTTTGATTTACCCACTACAAATGGCAACCCAAGGTATTTTTCATGTTGCTGAACCCAAGGAACACCAATTATAACGTACAATTCTTCAACTCTAATCTCTGAAACATTCTTACTACATACTAAAGCTGATTTTTCCATACTAACATTATGTTGATCAACTTAATATTTACATTTTTTGTAGACACTATCTTGGATCATGCTTTCAAATATCAATATCTTTAATTTCAATTCTTAAAGATTTATTCGGATGATTTTCAATATCTTTTTGAGTGGGCAATGATGCCTTACGATCTTTCAAGTTTGTAATACTTTTTGAAATATTTTTTCCATAAGTCCTAATTTTTATTTTAAAAACTCCACTTAATCTTATCAACTTTACTTTAGGACAAGTAAGTCCTATTTTCAGCAATTGGTTTCAAATAAATTCAAACTCGTATTTCAATTTTGTCCTCTTTTCTAGACATCAATTACACTTTTACTCAGTTTTTTTCAACCAATTTGCTACTCTCTCTCTCTCTCTCTCTATATATATATATAATAGAAATTGCTTGTGATTAAAGTCACTATGTAACAAAAAAAAAAAGCCTTAGGCCACATCCACATCCAACTTGGTTTATATCACCTATATTCACCACCTATAACACACTCAGATCCAAATAACTGTTATAGCAAACAAAATTTCAATAGTTGGTATGTACTAACTACTATTTGCTTAAAATTTTGTCAAATTTTGTTTTGAAAATATTATCCCTGAATAATATCGTCATGTGTGTACAATTTATAGAATCAAATCTTTATGTAAATATACATGACTTAAATCAATAATCTCATCAAATCACATTAGTAGTGCTATTAACACTATTTATCATACAAATATAAACTGAATTAATACCAAACTTAAACTAATAAGAATAAGTTAATACATTCACTCATTCCATACCCCAAAATCAAGCCACTATGCCTCTCCATTTTTGTGCTCAACTGAACAACAATAAATTACTCATGCATGAAGACACTATATACACAAAAAAAATCACAAATTAAAAAAATTTGAGAAAGATCGTCAATCAATGTTGACCCACTATTGTTTAAAAAATTAATCGACAAAATTCCTCTAAAAACATAACCATTGAATAGTATCACCCGGTGTACATCATTTATATAATAAAATTTAGTAATTGATGCAAAATATTTTGAAAAAATTTGCCTGAAACCAATGATTAACACACCATTGCACCATTGTCCTTCTTTAACACAACTACTTATCAACTACTGCAATATTATAATTCAAACATTTACCAAAATGTTGCACTTGATGCACTCACTTAAATGAATAGGCATATATGAAAAATATAATGGCATCCACGACATAAATCCACATGTTGGGTGAGACTTCGATATGTTAGGAGCTATGTACCAAGACTTGAGCTGCTACAATCAAAGGTCGAAATTAAGCTGAAAATGAATCTGTTATTGCTGAAAAAAATCAATTCAACGACATGGTAGTGGACCAGTGGTAATTCTAGACTTTCAAACCTATACTTGAAGAGCTCATATAGGTAGAAAAGTATAATGGTTGATCACGACGAATCCGAAGAGGAGGAGGATCCTCTAATGGATTCAAGCATGCATTCACCCATACCTTGCAACCATCTCACCTACCCAACCAACCCCCTTAAGCACCCAATAGAGAAAGCTAAATTAGAATTTATTATAAGCTGCAGGTTCAAACTCCAAGTAGCATAATACTTTCAAAGGATAAATTCGAACAAATAAAAAAGGTTGGTGTACATGTTGTTAGAAATATGGTTTGTACGATAAGAACAAATATTGACATGTATTAATCCCAACGGTTGGATTTGGTTCTCACAGAATTTTTGATAGTTTCCATTCCATTTCCCCTCAAAAGTAGGATAAACATGTCTATGTATATCGAAAAAAGAGAAACAAAAAACCCCATAGAAGCCCAATGGAAGGAAATCACACCTATGTATCAGGAAGACAAATCAAGAATACAAACTCTTGTCAATTAAGTTCTAGTAGAAAGAAGACTAAATAATTCAACTGATAAAATTTTAAATAAAGTACAACAATATTATCAATCAAAGTTGATTTTCTTCCTCGTATATACTACTACGTCCTATATGCATGAGGCATTATCTAGTTTTGGTTATGTGTCAATAACGAATGTGATATTTAGTCGACAATATATGTCAGTTATAGCACCCCAGTTAATGTTCTATGCAACAATAGTTTCTAACACCTATGTTGTGAAAGTCACCTTACTTAATGCAGAAAGTTGGTCAAAATCAAAATGTACATAATCAACAAACACAAAATTCTTTAGAATTTCATGGAATGCATAAGCCAAGTGTTTACGATCAATAACCACCATTATGGAAGCCCCAAATATGAAAATAGACAACTTATTTAAGTTACCATGAAAGTTACAGTCGAAGCACCAACTCAGCAAGACATTATCCCTGTGACATACAAATTTAGAAGCAAACATTTTTAATCAATAATGTTTTCCGCAATCCAAATTGCAAGGATAAAATAGAACATAAATTAACTCCTCATAATATTTTAATAGAAAACACAGAGAAAAATACAACGAACATAAATTATATTTCAATTCATAATATCTCAATTGGTTATGTCGGATGAAGCCTCAGACTCGATGCCGGCAACCCACCTTCAATAAAGCAGTTGAACAAATATTCAAGTCAAATAACTCTAATTCAAATATATCCACCTCACTAAAAAAATGTTACAAACACATAGATGTACTTGATCTGTTGTGACTAACTACATTGTTAGCATTCAAAAATTAGAAATGATCTATTGTAACTAATTACATT